TCATCTCTGAGTCACCTGTTTCTTTGTAGTCACTTGTACCCTTCATAGTCAATGGTCAGTCACTTACCGTGGAAATTCCAGCTTTCTCTCTCAGTTTAGCTGTCTGCTTGGGGCTTCCAAGGATTCCTCATTTAAGGGTGTACAAATAGTGCCAGACCCAAAAAACACTTTTTCATGCCTTCAATTTCCAAAACTCTTAAAACTAATGAACTTTAATAATGCCACCCGTGATAATTAAAATCCCCAACTTGGATATATATGTTCACTGGGAAGCTGGAAGAAAAGATTAGCCTTGGGTTGCACATGTACATCGTAAGAACAACCTGGAAGAGCCAACTGCGGGTAGTGGCAACTCCCACTTCTTAAAATGCCTACAGGCTTAGACTAATGCCGACCTTGCAGACACCATTACTGACTGAGCTGTAAAAGTCGAGCAGTCTTTATGGTGATTTTATGTCAGAACTCTGTGTCGGGAAAGTGTTCCTGTGGCACGTGGCTTTGTAAGTCATCAGAAAGGAGGTTGGATGATGACTAGGGGAAACAGATTAATAATAAAAGAGAAGCCTCAGCACAACCGTGGACTTAGAAAGCTATTGTGCCAAAGAAAAGTGGTTTACAGTGTGACCCTGAGTGACAATCCTTCACAGTTGGCTGGCAGGGACCGTGGGGAACAGATCCCCCTCTAAAGGGCACAGGAGCAAGGATGCACCTCAGACCCAGATGGAAAGATTTCCTTCTGTGACCAAGATCTCAGTCATGTGCTTTGGCAAGGGCTGACTTTAAAAATAAAAGTGAACCAGGAAATGGGATTGAAGAAAACAGCAATTAATAGCCGGGGGTGGTAGCATATGCCTGTAATCCCTGAACTCTGGAAGGCCAAGGCAAGAGAATCACAAGTTTGAGCCCAGCCTAAGCAATTTAGCAATTTAGCAAGACCCTATTCAAAATTTTTTAAAAATGAAAAAGGCTAAGGATGTAGCTCAGCTCAAGAGCCCTATGTTCAATCTCCAGTACCACCCCACACGTGCACACACACAAACACAATTAAAAGGTTGATGATGAGGAGGAGGGGTGGGCACCCTGTATGGAGCCCTCACAAAGGCCCAGTCACTGCTAACGTGTCACAGACAGAACCTCTTGCTCACCTCCTGATAGTCTTGCAGCACGGGGACATCTCTCTGTTCAGTTGAGGGAAGCGACAATCATTGGAGTTAGTCAGCTTGCTGAAGGTCTCAGTGCTGGAAAGTGGCAGAGATGGGCTTTGTTGTGTTTACAGGATTGAGTTGCAGTGACTCACAAAGCCCACGCCACCTTGCATAGGCAGATATGCACATTCTGCAGTTTGCCCCCACAGTGGAAGTTTCTGCACAGAAGGCAGCCTGATTGCGTGTGCTGTCATCAGAGGGACAGGCTGGCAGCAGAGGGGATGGGAGGTGGGCACCACCGAAGGAGAAGAAAGGGAGGAAGTCCTGGCTTAGCCTAAAGAAGAAAGTTACCTGAAACCTTCAATTTCAAAATTGTTTCTGATGATCTTGTCGCACCTCAGAAACTTCTTTATAGCCATCTAACACCTGACACATGGACTAGCTGGAAATATTTTAGGAGTCAAGGAAAGAGGAACCACTGGTGATTACAAATTACCAATGCACTCCTCCTCCCGACCCATGGATTTTACCCTCCTCTGCCCGGTCACTTTAGGATCTTGATATAGAAATATCATCATCAACAACCATAAAAAAAAAAACCAACATTCTCATCTACACAAATACAAACAAAACCAGCCACCTGAGGAGAACATGGCTGAGCTCTCGCCATTTCTTGGACCTCTCTGCCCGGTCACTTTAGGATCTTGATATAGAAATATCATCATCAACAACCATAAAAAAAAAACCAACATTCTCATCTACACAAATACAAACAAAACCAGCCACCTGAGCTGAGGTGGCTGAGCTCTCGCCATTTCTTGGACTGGAAACCTGGTGGTGTTGTCTCTGAATTCCTTCTCAGTAGTGCTATAACTTTGAAGGGATTAATGTTTAATTTACACAGAAAGATTGCGTGTCAGTATCAAGACAAAAATTAATAAGTACTGTACCTACCTTGCCATTGGTTTGTTCTTTCACTAGGCTAAAACTGTAAGGAGAGGGAACCAGAGGGGAATTTTTTTTTTCAACATTGCAAACCAGCCTATTCCTCCTCCCCTTTTGGTAAAGAAATATTTAAGTCATGTGCATTCTTGGAGAGAATTTTCAAAAAACACTCAGCCCACAAGAATTCTGTTCATCCCACAGAATCTGCCTTGGTCCTGCATGGATTTGCTCACACTTCCACTTCCAGCCCAGCAGAGTTTGCCTTTAATACCAGTAGGTTAGGATGACACAGACATCTGCCGCATTAGGACACGGCTCCCAAGAGGAGCTCCGATCTGAAGTCATCACGAAGGGAACAGAACAAAAAGTGGTTCACATTGCTTTAGTTGAACTTCATTAAGCTCTTCGGCCAACTCTTTTCCAGTGTGCTTTGGCTTATTTAGTATTTGTTGTTTAACTTATTATAGTTACTGTCTAGTATTTTTGAGTCTTCTTGTTTACATTATGGGAACAAACACTGCCCCCTATTTATTATGATGATTTACTATCTATGTAGCATAGTTTTTTTTTTAAAATAAGATGAATTGTGGGACATGAAAAAAAAACACAAACCAACTCTTTTGGAATGTTTCCCATTTCTAAACAAGAAGGGGTGAAACTGCATCTTTCCCCTGGAATGAGGATTACACCTGCTGCAGGTGACCGAGGCAGCTGCTGTAAACAAGCCTGATGCCTGGGCTTCTCACAACTCAGTTGTGAAGCAGCACAGTGTGAATAGCTATTCCCAATTCCAGTACATGTTGTGCTCATATCAGGTTATTTGTATTCTTAACCTTGTAGCATAATACTAGGCTTTCCCCACGGCATGAAATTCTGGTAAGTCCTATATCATCACAGAGGGAAATGCTTTTTCTAACAGAAGGGAAAAAATACTGAAGTCTTTCCTTCTCAACCTAGCCAGGAAGTGGGGAGATGGCATGTCTACTCTAGTAACAATATTGTTGGTCTTTACACCAAATTTCTTTACTATGACAGTAGATAATTTAGCTCTGGAAAGGCAAAGGTGAATTAGGTCACTGAATCTACAAGTATAGAAATGCTCCAAAGTCAGGCATGGGGATGCACATTTGTAATCCCAGTACTTGGGAGACTGAGGCGGGAGGATCGCCATGAGTTCCAAGACCGCATGGGCTACATAACAAGACCATGTCTCAAAAAGACAAAGAAATGAGGGACCAGGGATTTAGCTCAGTGGCAACGTGTCTGCATTGCAAGTGCAAGGTCCTGTGTGATCCCTGGTATCCATGCCCTGCCCCCGCAAAAAGAAAAAGAAACGCTCCAATAAGTTTTATTAGTTGGGGAGTATTTAAAATCAGTTGAGAGGCCAGGGATTTGGCTCAGTGGTTCCACTGCCTGCCTCACAAGTGCAAGGGCCTGAGTTCAACCCCCGGCACCTCCAAAATGAGTAAATAAATAAATATGAAATCAGTTGAAATCCTGGTAGCACATAATTCCCTTGGGTTTGTTCAGTCCTAGTACTACTGGAGGAGAAATATTGGTACCAGATTTTAATTTAATCTTGCTAAGAAAAATAGGGAAATTACTTTTGTTGGTTAGTTTTATTTTTGTTGTTTTGCTTTTAGAGATTGATATTTTTGTCCAAAGCAAAAATGCAATTCAAATAACATTAAGTGCCAGATTAAAGAGAATTTTTAAAATATGAGGTGGTTCTTATTTTTGAGTTCTCATGACCACTGGGAGGAACAAGTTGAAAAACAAATCCAAACAACTACAGTACAATAGAAAAAAAAATGTATAATTCCGGATATGTATACTAGGCTTGTTAATATACGGTAGTTCCAATTTATTCATAGGGAGTGGGAATGGCAAACAGTACTGTGAATACAACCTATTTCTTCAGTATTCTGTTTTTTCCAGTACATACATACCTATGACAAGTTGGATATGTATATAAATAAATAATGAATTAGGCACAATAAAAGAGGAACAACAAATAAAAGAGAAAAATTGTAACAATACCCTTTAATAAAATTACCAACATCACTGCTCATGCACTTTGGGGCCATTATTAAGTAAACGAAGGGTTACTTAAACACAAGTCTGTCATACTGTCACAGTGGCTCTGATCCGAGGCAGCAACTGACTCACCGATGGGCAGATAACACACACATACAGCTGGGTGTGTGCCAGACCAAGGGCCGGACAGAGCAAGACAAAGTCAGATTTTATCATGCGTCTCAGAATGCTGGCGAAGTTTAAAACTTATGAATTTCTTCTTGCTGGAGTCTTCCATTTAACATTTGTAGGTCAACATTGACCACAGGTAACTGAAAACTAAACAGCGGGTGTTGGTGATTACTATATATTGCTTCTTCAGCAATTCATTCAACCTAAAGAAGAATACTAAGGCAGGGGAAACTAAAGAGATGTCACCTGCTTAGCAGGACTGACCAAATGAACATCACATGAAGGTTATTCCAAGCAGAGGAAATGGCCTGCAGAATTCTTCTGTACTGAGGAGGTACCAGGGGGTAGAGTTAGAGTGATATGAAAAGGAGCTATGAAGTGAAAAAGACTGGAAAAAGTCAGCATGGTGTGTTAGGTATAACCTTCCTTGGGAAAGTAACTATTGTATAAATTCTTGACAAAATGACTCTCAGTGCATTTATTGTTTGACTCTGTTAAGGAAATGACGGATGTTTTTGGACCTGGCATTTGAGCCAAGGGAAGCAAGAACGATACTTGGCCTTTATAATTGGTAACTGATAGTTTATGAATACTTGGAAATGGTGGTCGTTTATTTCATCCTGCACACAATTGAGAATTAAGCCTAATTACCAAAGCTAGTCATAGAACAAAAACAAAGATTATTATTTTTTTTTTCTCTAGGCTTGTTTGAGACGACAGGAAAATAGAAGAGACGAGAAGAAACGAGATCAGTTTTGTGGCCAAGAGACAGGTTCTGAGAGATCCCTGTTTTCAAGCAAGGCATCTTCAAAACAGGTATGGAGAATCATTCTGGCAGATAGTCTCCTACTGCAGAGAGACGGGCAGGGAGGGAGGAAGAGAGAGGAGGAGAGGAAGAGAGAGAGAGAGAAAGGCAGAGGCCCGATTTAGAAAAAGAGTAACTCAGAAAGGAGGTGTCACAGAATCCAAAAGGTGAAGGCAGGGAGAAGCAGGAGAAGGTGAGCCTTCCCACTTCAGCTTCATCTTCTTTCCTGTGGATAAATGGCCTCACACAAATGTTCCGTGGGATACCATCCAGATCAGAAATTCCGGAGCACTTTGATACACCTTGCCCAGCGCGGTACCATATTTATAGTTCATGATCTAACCCATTGCATTATTAGGTCAAGTTTTTACTTCAAATAAAAGGAAAAAGTAAAACACAATGATAACTATATCATGTAATAACTGGCAGCTGTTCACATTTTTTATCTAGGATGATAATAAAGAAGAGCAATAGAATGCTAATAATAATAGCAGCCGTAGTAATTACCAGTGCTGTTTGAGTGCTTACAGTATTCCAAGTACTAAGTACTTTATACATATTGGAATTTAATTCTTATAAATGTATTGCATATATACTTAGTTACATATATATATATACACATATATATGTATGTATGTATGTGTATATATGTATAAAACAGATGAGAAAAACTGGGCCTTAAGAAGTTAAGAAACTTTACCTTAAGATCTCACAGCCAGTATGTAGTGATTCCATTCCAGCTAGACCGATCACAGAGAAGGTGCTCTGCACTGCTGAATTATCCAGTCATATTTCATGCTTAACATCTTATTTAAGAATTTGACTTATCCTATGTAAGAGCTAAATACCACAAACTGCAGTCAAGCCTGGTTGTTAGCATGGTGAAATGATTTAAGATGAGTAATATGCCTTTTATGAATTCTTATTTAATATTTTATGCCTGAAATAGACTCCAGAGGAGGGACTCTCTTTCCTACTAGTGGCATGGATCCCTGAGATAGATCTCGGGTACTAAGTATCAATCAAGTTCTTGTTGAGATTTCTTCTTTAATCTAGTATGTTCGCACTGCAGTTATTTAATGTTCAAAGGACACCTTTAAAACATCAGAGACTGATGTTTATGGATGTAGATGTATCCCTAGGAGAGATGTACTCTTTGCTAAGGGATATAAAAATCACACAATAAAACATCCCACCTAGAGTCTGAAGGTGAAAGAGACCATTTCACAATATTGGCAGTTCCAGGAAGAATGTGTTTCCTGGATCTTTTCCTGTTAGTCAAGGACTAAATATAGTGTCTGCTACTGATTAAACCTAGGGAGTAAGATTAATCCAAAAATTAAATCTGGTTTGGCTAGAACAACACATTTTTAGCACTAAGATAAATTCTTACATTTTTACACTTAGAAATAAAATCAAAAACAGATAAAATGTAACAAGTCAAACAGTAGGATGTATCAATCCTCCTATGTTGATGATTAAACCTAGGGAGTAAGATTAATCCAAAAATTAAATCTGGTTTGGCTAGAACAACACATTTCTAGCACTAAGATAAATTCTTACATTTTTACACTTAGAAATAAAATCAAGAACAGATAAAATGTAACTTAAGTCAAACAGTAGGATGTATCAATCCTCCTATGTTGGAATTACTTCTGTTTTCATGCCAAGGTTCACATGCATAGATGTGGCCATTTTGTATGGCTACATGCATGCCTTTAGGATGTTCAGGATATAACTGAACATTAATTCTCATATGTCAACTTCTTTGCATTAAGAAATACCTCACAGCTTAGTAAAGCATCCCCCGGGTGTGTCTGGGTGGTCACAGAACGTGGCCTTGGGTACTGGATGTGGTCCCTCTCCCATTCTCTGGCACTGTTCCCTGCTTTGCTCTCAGCTCCCATGAACTAAGCAGCTTTGCTCTGCCACGCCTTTCTGCCATGATTTTTCCTACCTTTGAGCCAGCTTACTACGGACTGGATTCTCCCAAACTGCGAGCTAAATGAAACCTTTCTTCCTTTAAAGTTGTAGGTGTTGGGTATTGGGTCTCAGTGATGGGAAAGCTGACTGATACACAGGACTTGCACCAGTTTGGAGGGACAAACTGGTATCAGAATCGTATAGTTTTCTCCTTCCTGCCATAAAAATTACATACTTTCAATCTGTGAAAGCACTCAGACCACTTTCAAACAAGGACGTGATTGTACATATAAAAATATGTGAACCGAGTTCAATCCTTGGTACCAAAAAAACAAAACCCCAAAACAAAAAACAAAAACCACAAAAGTATGTGAAATAGCTTCTATAATCATAAGTTACTTATATCTGGTTTTCTAACAAGTTTATTATTCATTTACACCTAACACAAAACAATGACAAAAACTGCATATAACTGAAAATTTCTGTCTAAAGTATGATGACAGTTTTCATGTTTGCACTGTGCAATTGTACCTTAGTGTGGCAGAGAACATGAACTATTGCTTGCATATTCTCAATTCTTTCCAAATGATAATATACTAAGGGGTAGGGCCTTAATTATACAAGTGCCTTTAAGGCCTCATCTTCTAACCAAGAAGAGCAACAAAATCAGAATTACCCACAGTGAAATTTACCTCTTTTTGCTCTTAGCATTATAGATATTCTCTGGGGATACTGGAGGATTTGCCTCTGGACACAAAGCAGGAGGGCAGGTTGAGAGAGGTGTCATTGAAAGCATCAGCCCCAACAGCCATCACAATGCCCACCCCACCTGGTACAACCTTCTGGCTTTTGCTTTGTAGAAATAAAGTAAGAGATTCCATATGATGTTTAAACCAGACCCTCCCAACCAAAAACAAACAAACAAACAACAAAAATACCTCAACTTCAGTCCCTAGCATCATGAGTTGGTTTGGTGATTCCCCTCACAATTTTGGACCTTTATCCAAATTTTTACAGAAATCTTGTTCTTAAATCTTCCAACACTGGGCATACCCTGCTGTGTCTCAAATCCTGAGGGAATGCACAATATATTAAATAAATCTCTTTCTGCGGGGTACACAATGCCAGCCAGGTCCTGAACTTAGTCTCCCAGAGTCTATAAAATGAGAAATAAGAAATAAGAAATCTAGTATCTCCCAAAGGAGAACCAGGCCAGACAGATTCAATTTCCAAAATTCAATGTATTGAATGTCACATTGGGCACTTGAGTTGTGAAACATCCTTGGTCAGTCAGAAAGTGGCAGGGGAAAGATACAGTTCAGTAAGATGGTGTTAAGCCAACCAAAACCCTGGGTGAAAGTTCTCTGAGTAATTGCAGTCCAGAGATTGCTATGGCTGAGAACTCTAAGCAGCAGTTTTTGCCTGTGTCTTGTGAAGACAGGTTCATTTTCTGATGGAGTGGCTAGAATAAAACTGAATTTCTTAAACTATGGAAATTTTTCCAGTGTTCTGTCACTTTGTGAAACAGGCCATGACCAAATTTTGACACTTGTATTGCAATTTTCACCACTTGTTAATTTCTTAACCCAACCTCAAATTGTCACAATTCTGATGAGCCTGGAACAAGTAAGTCATTTATCATTTCCAAGACAAGCTTTCATTTCCAGACACCTGCCTAGAAGAGGGCAGGACCCCAAATACAGTTAACCTGGTGCTGCCCCAACATGGTAGTCTTCTTGCTATGATGAGTGGGCCTAACTGCTGGGTACATAGAGGTTGACTGAGTTTATTGTAAAACCAAGATGAAGTATCCCTATCATCAAGTTCATGTCAAGATATTCTTTAAAATGGTACCTTCTACATGCATTCAAGTTTGTGGGTTGGCATAATAGAAGACATTAATCAAAGCCAGCTCTGCCCCTCATTATAGGCAAACTACTTTATCTGTCAATTTCCAAGCCAGGGGATACTTGTTACTATGCTCATCTTGTGAAATTGTTGTGAGCATAAGGGAGATTCCTGAGTGATACACTATTACTAGATTACATGCAAACTGTGCCGGTGTCCAGCTCTACGTGAAAGTTGTTCTCCAACTAGTATTTGTGGAAAAGTAAGTTCTGGGGTTTATAATATCTTCTTTTGTCTCTGCCCCCATCCCAGGTCACATTTCCAAAAGCCAATTTAATGTAGCAACTTAATTCTAGATCGTTCTCAGTGTCACAACCTTGTGAGCCGTTTAATCAGGTTAGAATTTAGCAGGGAAATAAACAGCTCTATATATCCAACTAGAACTTGGATAATTTAGTAAACTCTGTCTATAAGGAGAAGACTAGCACCCTTCCTTCCTTCCTTCCTTCCTTCCTTCCTTCCTTCCTTCCTTCCTTCCTTCCTTCGTTCCTTCGTTCCTTCCTTCCTTCCCAGGTCTCCCTAGAACAACTGCTAGCTTGAAGGAACCTGCTATGATTGACAGGGGCACCAGGATATTATATCCTCTCAAATTTTAGTAAAGAAGGAGTAGAGGAGCCCTGATTTTTCCTTAGAATATGATGAAACTGATTATCCCAGTGTGTGGGGGCCAGCAAGCTTGTATGAAGAAACACAACATGAGCTCCTCTCATCTTCCAAGATCCTGTTTCCTTGCTGGAAGGAATGCAGCTCCAAGTGCACCAACTTGAAGAACCAAGGACACATTGTCCCTGCAATTCCTTCATTGGAAAGGAAGGCTGAGATCAGCTCTCATCTTTCCAAGAGCACCATTTATTCTGCTGATAGAGATAGGGTTATTATCCTTTCACCTCAGCCACAGAGCAATTAAATATTTAGATTGCAGGTCGCAAGGACCCAGGTTACATTGGAAAGGGATGTAGGCAGTTAACCTGATAGCAAAAAGCAGCTGGTTGTGCTTCAGGCTCTATTCAATATGATGTTTACATTGGTGAGGTCACCAGAAAGCTAGGTAACCTTAGGAGGAAGGCCATTACCCAACATAAGTATTTTTATTGTTTTGGCTGTGAGAATCCACTCCAACTTGGGAGATTAAAAATCAAGGCATCTTTAAGTAATCTGAAGTAGCTTTAAAAAATCAGAA